GTCCCGTGCAGCTGGCATGTGCTCCCACAGAAGGCTTCTCCCTGTGAGCTTGTTCAGACCTGTCAGGAATGAGCACTCATGAAACCGCCATTTCAGGCAGCTTGTAATTGCACACCCAGGTGTTGGCTGCTTTTTGTTTTGATGCTGCAAGTTCTTAAGGTTGATAAACACATGAGGCTCTGATATGTTTTTTATACAAGAAAAAGAAATTAATCCTGCTGGCTGTCTAACGTGGTGAAAATGCTTGAGATCATTGGAACTACAGCCTCCACCTACAGAGCCATACACAGGGTGTCGGGGACGTAACTGGGTTTAGGCTACAGGAGGTTGGTTTTGCGGTAGGCTTTCTCTAAAACCGCTTTCTCTTAAACACAAAGACAATTTTAAAAGTACTTAGAACATTTTACTTAAAAATAAATGGCTAATTGAAGAGTGCCTTACAGATAGTTTTAGTTTGTGCTTTTAGGCTATAGACTGAGTTCAAGTTGTTAAGTCTCATTTAGCTCAAAACACAAAGTGGGATTCCTGCCCTCACAGAAGAGGGTGCTGTCGGGCAAGCGGCCTCCTCGCGGAGGCGCCCACGGTGATGGGTGCTCTGAGGACCGGCCCTCGGTCCTGCTGTCCTCACCGTGGCCATGTGGCTGAGGCTCTCGGCGTGAAGTCAGGAGTCCCGGTCCCTCCAGCCCAGGTGGGTCTGGCGCCTGCAGGACTATTGCTTATGAGTCTGAACACTGTATTTTATATTTTAGTTCCAAAAGCAAAATAGCAAGTTACATCACAAATAAGTGTTTGCCTGTTTCATAGTCATGGCCCATGCTCGTGACTCGGTCGGCCGAAGTGTGGAGTTCAGTTGCAGGATGAGAACAGGAGCATTCAGGGTTAACAATGCTCTCCAGCAGAGCCAGCGGTTCACGTGGACTCAGAACACCACGCTGCTTGCAGGTCCGTCCCAGGAAGGGAGCCTTCAGATCACTCTGCCTCGCCCACTCACTTAGCCGAGACTTGGGGTGAGGCGCAGGCCCGCCAGGCCCGCCACGAGCTGTGCGTGGAGCGAGTAGAGGGGAGACGTGGACCGTCAGCGCGGTATCCCCCCTTTGGTTCTCCGATCACTTTGAGAACCTGGGGAGACGGTGACAGGACACACGGCCCTTGGCCTAGTTTTCAGGGATCCATACACCTGCAGCCCCTCTTCAGACCCAGCCGAGGAGTCTGCTGTCCAGGTCAGGTCCTTTGTTTCATGGAGGAGAAGTTGGTGCGGCCATGTCTTTTGTTTCGTAATTGATGCCGAGAGTAAACATGAAGGAGCTGGGCCTGGAGTCCAGCCCACAGGAATCAGGCCTCAGCCTGCCCGGCTCCGCGCCTGTTGGAGCGCCTCCCACGCACCCTCCCATGCTGGGTGGAGTGAGCCCAGAATGAGTTCTAACACTGATGATTTCAAATTTAAGGTAATTCCTCCTGAAAAAGGGTCAGACAATGCGTTTGACCTCAAGTCTGGATTTGAGTAGCTAATGAATCAGAACTATCGGTCTGACTAGCAGTTCCGCTCAGACACGGAGGAGGGAGCGGTGGGCAGAGCTGCTGACCGCCTGCCGAGTGCAGGGCCTGGGTGCTCAGGTCACCCAGCCACTTGGTTCTAACCCGGCTGTCCACCTCCGGGACAGTAGGGCTGAGCTCATGCTGCTCTGGCCGCAGTATCTTTCTCCCTCCTGCTGCGTGTGTGTGTGTGTGTGTGTGTGTGTGTGTGTTGTAATGATGTTGTGATGTGTTAATCATCTCATACGCCCACACTCAGTGGAGTTCGCCCTGGAATGTTGGCCGCCTGGCTTCCTTCCCTGTGAGTCTTGCTGTGCGGGAGGGGAGAGGCCTGAACTTTGAAGTCTTCCCAGAGGTGCAGGAGCAGGGTTAGCAGGACACTTGGGAGCAGCCCCGTCCTCGGAGCGTTTCCCATCGGACACAAGGCAGTTCGCATAGGTGGGTCTCCTGCCCGGCCGGGGGCGTGAGGCACAGCACCGAGCGGTCATGGGCCTCTCGTCGTTCTGCTGGGGAACCTTTTCTTGGTAACGTACTGCCGTCCTTTCTACCTTGGAGCTTCACCTTCTCCCTCTGGCCTTTCTCCCCCGCTGCCTCCTCGTCCTCCCTCCTCTCACATTCTCTGCTTCTCAGACCCCTTCCTTCCCCTTTAAAGGAAGGAAAAG